TCGAGGTTCAATGTTTATTGCAGAACTTATTGCACATATTACATGACATGTCATTTGTTAGACGCTTTTATCCAAAGCGACTTACATACATTCAGTCCTGAGGACAATCCCCACAGGAGCAAGTTGGGGTGAAGTGTCTCAGGGACACAACGACATGCTGACTGCAGTGGGACTCAAACTTGCTATCCCCTGATTCGAAGTCCAGCACACTACCCACTGAGCCACAGCCTCCCTGTATTAAACCTGGAACTAACAAAGCTTAAATGATTGCCTATAAAAACAACATTAAACATTAAATAATCAGTTGCATTCATTTCTTATGGCTCTATCTGCAGCTTTTCCAGAGTCATTTCTTATGATTACATTTTCCCACAGGCCAACAACAGCTTCAAAAAAACTATTTCCCTCAAAGAAAAACCAAACATGCCCTGTTGTCTCAAGAGACAAAGTGCAGAAGGAAACATGTAAACTCAGTGTGCTGCTCTGTGATGCTAGTTCAGATACTTGGCATCTCATCTTGGGTGCAAGGTCATCAATGTTTGGGGTCAGGCTCTGAGCGGAGGAGACCCTCAGGATTGAGTGAAGGTGTGCGTGCAATATACCAGCATTTCAAACTCAGTGTCGTTAAACCAAGCCATGAGCAGTGAGAGGTTAATTCTGCCGAACTGATACGCAGTAATTAAAAGGCTGCTTAAATAAATTAAATAAATAAACCCCAACGAGGCCAACAGATGAAATGATGGTGAACTCAGCACGGAGCAGATTACAGGAGCCTGACGTTTCTAATCAGTCCATTCAAAATAAGACGTACTTCTCATGCCCTTTACTTTCTTTTACACATGTGTATTATTGTTTTACTGTCCGGACATAGTATACATATAATTCAGTGTGTTGTCGTGCACTTGAAACGCCCACATAAAGCATTTTAACACAACATAAACTCACTGTAAAGCAGCAACAACTGGATGTGTTGGATTTATATTCAGGACGTTCAGGTATTTGATCATCAGGGGACGAAGACGCTTCATATCTCTGGTGGTATTTAGGGAAAGACAACACAGAGGGATTAACGGGATTATTTTCTGCAAGAGGATCGGGGGTTATCTCCCTGATGGATGTCACTCTGGGTAACGGCTCCTGAAGCTCCGCTCGAGAGATAATAATATACTAAAAGAAAATGTAAAAATAAATAATAATACGCAATGAAAATGAAGAAAAAAGGTATTGGCCACCTTAAAAAAGTGTGTGTGTGTGTGTGTGTGTGTGTGTGTGTGTGTGTGTGTGTGTGTGTGTGTGTGTGTGTGTGTTCACCTCTGGCATCATTAAACATAAATATGTAATTAATTCAAACACATGCATAACTGTCTGTGTACATATATATCAGGTCATGGATATCATGCAGTATTAAAGCCTTCTCTCTCTGCTGCTGCACACGGCTTAATCTGCTTCAACTCGTGACGACACAAAAATATCCGCCTTCTGTTTGATAATTCAACATGGAGGCCGAGAGGCATGCAGTGACAGATGTCCAACCCCCCCCCACCCCCCAACCCGCCATCTCCTCCCCTGAGTAACAATATATCACAGACGTATTATTACGAGGTGACTGGTGTGGGTGTGTGTGTGTGTGTGTGTGTGTGTGTGTGTGTGTGTGTGTGTGTGTGTGTGTGTGTGTGTGTGTGTGTGTGTGTGTGGAACAATCGTCAGAGGACACAGTAACACGGTGATAAAGGTCTTCTATAATAAGACTGCAAGTGTGGCAGCCAGAGGGACTACTTCGTACTTCCTGTGTCCTTGCTTTGATGCTCAGGGTGGTGATGAGGCTCAGGGATATTAGAAGTATGCAGCAGTACAGTATAGTGCAGATTAGTATTGCAGCAATAAATCACCGTGCGTATATTTGTGCTTTCTGCATTTGAGTTAAAGAGCTTTAGTGTTTCATAAATCTTGTTGCAGGAGGTTTTATCGTCCGTTTGGTAATCAAGTTAAAACGTAGACGTGTGTTTCAGCGTCAGGGAAGAATGAGGTAATGCTAAATGAAATGAGGGTAGTGTATTTGCCGTAATGCACATTACATTTTCTACATTTTAACAGAAGAAAAAGGCACATTATAGGTTTTTAATCCACAAATTCTGTCTTTTTGAACAGGTGTCAAATGTCATGTTTTGGGGAAAATACAAAAAATCTAATAAATAAATAGAAAATATGAAAAGAATAATAAATACAAATGTTAAAGAAACACAGACATCTGTTAAATATCATACTCTCTTGTGTTTGTTCTCTAAATGTGGGGGAAACATTTTGAGCACTAAATATCTGACTAAAAAGGGGAACAACTTTCCCAATTAGTTTTTCAAAAGGGAAATAAAGTACTTATGTATGTAATTGATGTAGTGCAGGAACATGTCTCCCTTTGAAATGTGGGGAAGTGAAAGTAGACATGGCACAGAAAGGAAATACTGAGGTGAAGTACAAGTACCCTTACATTTGAACTCAAGTAGTTTCATCACAAAGAATGACTTTAGGTTTTAGACCAGACTGAACTGTTGTACTGTGTGTGTGTGTGTGTGTGTGTGTGTGTGTGTGTGTGTGTGTGTGTGTGTGTGTGTGTGTGTGTGTGTGTCTGTGTGTGTGTGTGTTTGTTTGTTTAATGTTTCTCCTTTGTTGTCTTAGCATTGATTTAGGGCACCATGCTCACACATCCACACCTACACTACTGATATTACTAACACACCTCATGTTTGGTATCTCCCTTTGTTTGTTGGATTGATAATACATATCTTTCTTTACATTGTGTCCTTTAAGTATTTGGTCTGACTCCATTTCCTTCAGTAGATTAATTGAAGTAGGTTAAACTCACGTGATCACATGGAGCAGAGGAAAGAGAGAGAGAGAGAGAGAGAGAGAGAGAGAGAGAGAGAGAGAGAGAGAGAGAGAGAGAGAGAGAGAGAGAGAGAGAGAGAGAGAGAGAGAGAGAGAGGGAAGTGGTGACACCTGCTGGTCAAACGGAGAAGAGAGGACATCACTTTATATCAGAGGTGGGAAGTAACTGAGTACATTTACTCAAGTACAATTTTGAGGTACTTGTACTTTACTTGAGTATTTCCATTTTACGTTGTACTTTTCCTCCACTGCATGTATTTAATCCCTTTAGTTACTTCACAGATGTGGATGAATGATGTGAAATATAATCAAGTGTTAAATCAGACTTTAGTTCCACCTGGAGTAAATCCACAAGCTACCCTGCAGTATACAAAGTCATTCAAACTAGCTGCACCTTTACCAGCTTTGAGAACACTTTCATGATCAATCATTATAAAACATATCATATATATTATTCTGAAATGGACCAATCTGCACAATGACTACTTTTACTGTCGCTACTTTAACTATATTTTGATGAGAATACTTTTCTACTTTCACTTGAGGAACATTTTGAATGCAGGACTTTTACTTTAACAGAGTATTCCTACACTCTGGTACTTCTACTTTTACTCAAGTACAAGATCTGAGTACTTCTACTTTTACTAAAGTACACAGATCTGAGTACTTCTACTTTCACTCAAGTACAAGATCTGAGTACTTCTACTTTCACTCAAGTACAAGATCTGAGTACTTCTACTTTCACTCAAGTACAAGATCTGAATACTTCTACTTTTACTCAAGTACAAGATCTGAGTACTTCTACTTTTACTCAAGTACAAGATCTGAGTACTTCTACTTTTACTCAAGTACAAGATCTGAGTACTTCTACTTTTACTCAAGTACAAGATCTGAGTACTTCTACTTTTACTCAAGTACAAGATCTGAATACTTCTACTTTTACTCAAGTACAATATCTGAGTACTTCTACTTTTACTCAAGTACAAGATCTGAATACTTCTACTTTTACTCAAGTACACGATCCGAGTACTTCTACTTTTACTCAAGTACAAGATCTGAATACTTCTACTTTTACTCAAGTACAATATCTGAGTACTTCTACTTTTACTCAAGTACAAGATCTGAGTACTTCTACTTTTACTCAAGTACAAGATCTGAGTACTTCTACTTTTACTCAAGTACAAGATCTGAGTACTTCTACTTTTACTCAAATACAAGATCTGAGTACTTCTACTTTTACTCAAGTACAAGATCTGAGTACTTCTGCTTTTACTCAAGTACAAAATCTGAGTACTTCTACTTTTACTCAAGTACAAGATCTGAATACTTCTACTTTTACTCAAGATCTGAGTACTTCTACTTTTACTCAAGTACACAATCCGAGTACTTCTATTTTTACTCAAGTACTTCTACTTTCCCTCAAGTACACGATCCGAGTACTTCTACTTTCACTCAAGTACACGATCTGAGTACTTCTACTTTCCCTCAAGTACACGATCCGAGTACTTCTACTTTCACTCAAGTACACGATCTGAGTACTTCTACTTTCCCTCAAGTACACGATCCGAGTACTTCTACTTTCACTCAAGTACACGATCCGAGTACTTCTACTTTCACTCAAGTACACGATCTGAGTACTTCTCCCACCTCTACTTTATAGGTATTAAATGATTTCCTTTGATCAATGATTGAAGTGGTTTGAAGGAGGTCACCAGAACAAAACCCTAAAGCAGTAGGCAGAAACACAGTTATCACCTTTAGCTGTTTAACACAGTGGCGTTGTTAAGAAACTCATATTAACATTATAGTTTGTATAAATTATGATTTCTTACCTGGAGCATTTAGGGATTCAGAGTCTCCTGATTTCTAGTTCGACCGATGGATTTGTAGAAAATATGAAAAATGTTTTTCAACTCAAAAGACCCATTTAGTTTCCCCGATATCTTAGTTTTCCATAATGAACGTTTTCTAACCCTAAAAAGCCTCATTTTATAGTTTTACAATACAAAATAGTCACTCGTTTGGTAATTGACTTATCACAGACATACTTAACGACCATTGGATGAGATTTGGAGGTGGAGGAATACCTGTTCAGAGGAAGAAACTACACACACAGGTTTTCACATCTTACATCATTTATTTTCCACACATTTAAATAATACAAAGGTTTAAGGTGAATTTAAAAAAGGCATTACATTTAGGCCACGCCCCTATCAGCGATGTCACAGCAGGTAATCGACAGAATTTTGCATTTTGTCAACCCTCGGTTTAACATCAATTTGGGGCTTTTTCTTTCCCCTGTAATCCAGACAAAATAGCTGTTATTGAATTCCTTTAAAACATTTCCGGTTGATTGGTGAGCAGAATACATTTTCTGACAGAGGAAATGAAGTCATTAATCACAGGGAGGAACATTTGATTGGTCGATGTAGGGGTGGAACAAAAACTCACAACATATTAAATTTAAACTCTTCAGGATTCACTTTTAGGAACAGCTTCAAAAACTCCATATGTGGGGTTTTGAACATGCCGGATCTCACCAAACAGAGCCCATGAAACTCTTGATTTACAGTCCTTTACCTCATTAGTGCAGTCGAAGCAGAAATGTTAAGTCTCTGTATCCCCAACAGGGAGCCTCTCCTCTTTTTGTTTGGGGTCACGAAGCCCCCGGAGGTGTTTCCGCTGCAGGCCTCTTGGTGGGGTCCAACACGCTGCCCTCGTACATGACCTTGTTCTTGATTCCCTCCCGGATCATCC